ACAATATGATATTAAAATAGACTCAGGCATAAGCCAATATCTTGTCATTTTGTAGGCCTTGAATGACCCCACTCGATAAGCATCAACGGGGCTCAAGTGGTCATTTTGACTGGTATCATTAGAAATCCATCTTCTCTAATCTTTTGATCGGCTCGATGACACAACTGATCTTTTGGTGAAGGAGATCCTGAGAGCCAGTTTACACACATTAATGAAGCTGCGTGATAAGCAGTACACACAACCATCGCCGAGATTTAGGCCTACGAGGCACCCCTGACGCCAACGTGCTCATTTAGATGAAGTATGGCGCCACAGGAAAATATTTAGAGGTTGAGGCTTAAACCAACAGTCTGGGAAATTTCTACGATTGTCTTATGCAAACCAACAGACTTTCTGTGACACGATCTCTCATCTTAAGTCAAGGGGTTGCGATGGTAAATAGGCCTATCCTTCGCGCGAAACCATGGTAATTTAAACTAATAACGCTTGAAATGACAAACGTCGTAAAACCCTGCTTGTAAGTTCTTCAAACAATGTCGTTTCATTCAGAGAACGATAATTGACAAGTATATTAGCGAGCATATGAAAAAACCTGAACGATCGTGTTATGGAATGATTATTTTTGATAATCTACTGTAGAAACGCACGTGGTAAAGAACTGTCTCTTATACACATCTAGATGTGTATGAGAGACAGCATCCAGTTGGTGTCACGCTTTTCAAATCTTTCAGGTTAGTAATGTATTAAAAATATGGTTATTATTATTAATAGGCCTATAATCATCGTAATATTAAAAATAACAATAGGCCCTGACTATAAACACAACTCTTGGGGGCCTATCACCCGATCGGTGTATTTCAACGAGTCCGTGATTGCCATAACAATAATAACAGTCAAAATACTAAAACATAATAGAAGAAAAAAAAAACGAAAACACCAAATTAATACTGCATTAATATATTGTAATGAAAACTGAAATAACCAAAATATTTTTATTGAATTAAAATGTAAATATTTATAAAGTAACCTGCGCCTCGCGGCCCACAAGTCAAGTTATGTTCTTTCACAAGTGCAAAAGACAAGAACATACAAGGCAAATGAAACATCAATAAGTTAACAATACAACAAACAAAAACATAATCTTGCGGCTAAGTACTGCGAGACAGCGACCGTCTCCACTCAAAATCCACTCTAAATTATACAAGAATGTATCGATAGCAGGAGATTCCATAAGGATCTGATTAACGTAATTAATGAATTGATAAATGTGATGAGAGGGCAGTTCAAGCAGAAAAAATGAGATGAAACGATAACTGACGACATGGACAACAATAAATTGTCAATCTTTTGGGTGATTTGAAATTGAGAATTATAATAGACTCGTTTGACGAGAAAAAATTGACGATAAATAAATGCAGGCCCGTATTACAGAAGGAATGGGATGGGTGCGTTCGCACCCTCTCTCCCCACATCGGGCAAAGTCCTGGTTTTAACGACAGTAGAAAAATACTGAATATAAAATGTTCACACAGTATAACGATGGAATTAATTATTAAGCTCCAACCCCTACAATACCGAAGCTACGATCCCAATCGGCTATGACTAGACCCTGCCGGGAATAGCTTAGTGTCCCCATAGCCCAGTTGGTTCATATTTGCACACCCCACCCCAATGATTATTCTGTACTGCCCTAAAATGTAAACGAAATAAAGAGAGATACCCTGGAGTATGGCGATCACTTTTACTGTTCAAAGTCGCAAACAATTTATCAAGTAGTTATATTTTGCTCTAGTGCCTTTATGTTAATTTGGAGATGATTTAACAGTTTTCTCCGTTTTTGTTTCATGAACCATTTACGCACGTATACCCTAGGAACGCGACCCCTAAAAAAACTATTTTCCTGGTCTGTTTAGAATTAAATCATGACGTCTAATACCCAAGCACATTTAATGCTAAACACGTCAGAAGCCTAAACACATTAGGCCGGGTCTAAACACGTTTAGCTTTTACACATGTCACCAGAGACAGGACAAAATTCAGTTGTGCTTTAAATCCTCGCTGTTTTTACAGTGAATAGCCGTAGGTTTCCCAACTGTTCGATCCCCCTGTCCAAAACAAAACCAATCATTTTGCATTCTTACCCATTGTTGAACACGGTTGAACTGAAGTTCAGTCCCGCACGACTCTCCGGAGTACAGTATAATTGGCGGTGTTTCTGTGTCTCAGATTTAAAGTGTCTCCTTCAATCGCAAGCTATCAAGTAAAGTTCAAAGTTGAGACACTTGTAAACGCTTGAAGGGTTAAACGACATGTACAAGTGTTGACAGATTGGGCATTATTACGACATATTCATTATCACTCGCCGAATTCTAGTCGCCCATTTTTCAAGTGAACAGCTTGAAATGACAAACGTCGTAAAACCCTGCTTGTAAGTTCTTCAAACAATGTCGTTTCATTCAGAGAACGATAATTGACAAGTATATTAGCGAGCATATGAAAAAACCTGAACGATCGTGTTATGGAATGATTATTTTTGATAATCTACTGTAGAAACGCACGTGGTAAAGAAAGGGCTAACCCAACCCTATTATAATTTTATCTAAGGCAATTCGACATGTTCATGTTCCCGATTACTTGATTAATAGGCGCGCATATAAAGGATCGATCACACAACTGGTGAAGGAATTGACGTTTTGGCCTACTGTAGATGGCTGGTGCCCGAGCAGCATGTATTTATTTACTTGGGGATTCTTAGCAGAATTACAATACACCACCTGAGGAACCCAAGTATAAAGCCTACAGGTGCACAAGTTAATCGTGGTAATATCGCAGGTGTTAATCGGTAATGACAGGCGAGAAACCAGTGCACCAAGCATCCTAATAGCGAACTGTGGCGATATCGTGAACTTGTAGTCCTTTGCCAAGATTGTTTGAACATCTGCCCGAAACAGAAAGATTAAGCAGGGGTTCGTGTGCTGGGTCCATCGATGCCTAATACCAGTGTTAGCTCGCTGGCGCCAGGAGTGGCGATGTGAACCGATAGATATGGCACGCCAGGTCGGACATTAACATGTCAATGTGACATCTCCAGTTAGCAATGTTAAAGGTTGGTAAATAGAGATTATGTCCGTCCTGGCGTATCATAGCTAGACCAAATCTGAGCAGCTGAAGTCACTTGCAGGATGAACAAGGTCCTCATATGTTTGGCAATTATAAAAGATGCGGAAGACGTGCGAAGTCAATGTCAGGCAGGCCCCAAGACGTCCAGACAGCCAAAGCGCCGCAAAAAGCAGCTGTACGCCGATGAAAATCATAAGCGCGCACAAGTACTCTTCATTTTACCAGGTTGTAAATAAGATGGCTCCGAATAACGAGTCATCTATATACACAGTCTAGGCTCCAGCTTGCTTATACATTATTGTTGTAATGACATTGACTTAATATGTCGATGCAAGTTCAAACATTTACCAACAGAATTTTTACGGACCTGCATTGGGCTAAATTAGTATTGTTTGCTATAGGCCTATCCTACAATGTTAATAGTTTTATGTTTATCAGTGTATCGATTGGCTACTTCATCGTTTTAAATTGTCAGTCAATCAATCACTAAACCAAATTGTGTTAGTTCAGTGCCAAGCGAATTCTTATCTATATGATCGAGTCAAACGATTAATCATAGCACTGTACACTCTATCAACTCGTTCTGTCAGAATTCGGCACGAAACAGAGCGTGACGTCATCCGTTACCCGTTATCGTACGCGATAATGTTTGTTCATCAGTGAACAAGGATGTTACATAGTTTCACTCGTTATACTGGCGGGTACAGTAGGCCTGTAAATCGTCTGTATTTTACCTTTGTATAAATATATATCCTCCAATATTGACAATCCATATTAGAGCTGTATTAGGCATATTATAGAAATATTATCATTTTGCTCTATGCCAACGCAAAATTTATAAGGTTTCCAAAAACGGCAAATATAGGCCGAATGCACATGGATATATCCTGTGTCTCATGAATTTTCTCCCCCACCCCACTCCCTTTCTATCAGTGCTAACGGCTATCTTGATTTATTATTATTATTATTAAGACCCAATAAATGTAATGCAGCCCATCGGCATGAAATAATATAAAAGAAACTCTCGTGCCGTGGCGTGTTTTATAATGTTATTTATTGGTTAGATCGTGTTTTTCTTTGCACCAATTCGACACTTGTGACTTTGAAATGTGCTAAGTTTCCTAACAAGGTGACGGCCCTATCACATTTGAAAACATATTGCACAGCCTGTCTCTTATATACATCTAGATGTGTATAAGAGACCGGCACGCCTCAATCCTCCTAAACAAACATAACGAGAATGAACGTTGATTAGTGACACGGTTTTCGCTGAGTCTTAATTGTTAAAGAAAATACCTGAATCGACATCATTAGGGTATTATTCGTTTACATGGTTGCACGTATTTAGACCTATTATGATTAACCCCTGGATAGAATCCAGTAGACTTGCTGGAGAATCCACAATAGTGTAGATTTGAATCTGCAATCAACCCCTAAATCATAGTGAATTTGTCTTGCTGGGCTGGGAATCCCCCTGCCCTCCTTTTTCGGGAATGGATCTGGAGCGCCGAAATCAAAGTTTCATACAGACACCGACTGTGTTCAGTGTAATGGCTATCCTGTGTTTTACCCCTCCCCGAATATTTGGGCACCGAGCATATCCCAAAATGTTGACATGGGATAGATTGCGTTATGACGATCGGGATGTTAGCTACTGACTTTCTCTTTAAACTGTTTATCATCATTATCAACGTCATCGTCATCAACCTATCAACATTAACATCAACATCATCATCGTGCCACTATCATCATCATCATCCCCTTCATCTTCATTACTATTATTACTATCAATATCATGATTTCATCATCATTAGTAGATTATTATTATCAAAATCGGAAAGCAACTGATGCAATTGATATAAAAAGACAACAAGCTTAAGTTCGTTCTTTATACATATATTTTATATTTTGCAGATAATAAACATAATGCTAATAAAAAAAGGTTGGTCTCATATACATTCACATGTAACTGCTATATAATTTAGGTAAAAAACGCAAATCTAATGTATTACATTGTTTACTATTTATATACCTATAATTATGTTTCGTACGTCATCAATATACTTTGTACATTATATATACACACAAACATTTATATATCTTGTATATTTACATGCAGTATTTACAAAGCTTACGGAATACAATAACAAGGTGTTGTTACAGCCGGGAACTTACATTGTAAATACAAATATACAAAAACTGTATGCCTGTTTTAAGGCCTCCAGCACGAGTCATATTTCTTAGGAAAAAAAATAATTTGACGATGCGTTGTCTAAGAACAAATGTCTATTCATGAATACAATTCTGTTAATACTATTTTCTTAATACCATTTTTAAATACCAATTTGATATCATTACAAGGTTTATATTTTTTAAGTTACTAATACATTCTCTATAATTTGTTGTTGATTGTCCATATAAATTCTTTCAAGTTCGTAAACAACGGAATGGGTTACCGACGACTGGCGTGTCTCTGTTTAAACTGGAATATATATTCATATATTTATAAATAAAACATTAAAATTGTTCAGATAACATCAATAATGTCAGTCAACCGGAACATCGATAGCTATACAACGACATTGCTTGATTTTTTTAATCTTCTTTCTTTTTGTATTCGGGTTCCTGCCTGGACATCGCAATGTCACTGTGATCATTTTGTACTTATATGGCTTACAAAACGCACAAGAAACGAACGCGTCCTGCTCACGGTCCTTTACCGTTTTAGGAACGTAAAACGAGTTACACTGTCCGTAACAAAATCGGTTGGTTATGGTTCGACTGATACAGCCATCTTCTTCAATAAGTTGCTTCACGGGTTGAGTTTTGCACCAATCACCGCGTAAATACTGCTTTTCTGTAATTTCTATTGCTTCTTCGCTTGATGGCGTGAGTAATTCGTCCGGTGATTTTCCGCGGTGCGATCCTTCACCGTTACGACGGTTCTCTCGGTTACGCCTTGGAACGTTGTCCATTACAGTCGGCTCGCTATCGTCAAGCATTGAAAGAACATTTTTGGTCTTCCTCCTTCCTTTGCCTGCCTCGGTCAGACTTGATAACAATAGCAATGCACACGAAACTATGCAGACTAGCAGTGAACTGGATAAATTCATTTCTCCTTTTGGGTACTCTGTTGGAGAAAAAGAACAAAACGTAGCTTTAATTAAAAACAAAGAAACATAGAAAATCGATTTTTCTCCATTAAAATTCAAATCCAGCACCCTCCGATTACCGTTTGCTCAAAATGTGACGTAATTTTGGGCTAAATAACGTTGGAGGCGTTGCTGCAACACTATGTTAACATTAATTTCTGACATAACTTCACCACAACGTTCACAATGCTCGCGAGTTTAATAATATTAATATTAATAACGTTTGTGTTTGCGGGGCTTAAACTGCATTACGGAATAGCAACTCACGAAGAGCATTTATCATTTTACCAGAAAATCCTCATTAACGGTATAATCGTTATTGAAGTAGCGTTGATAAGACCCAAGAATGCAAGACAGAGATTAGCCACCGATATACGGTCTCCGCTGAGCTAATAAACACGAATATTTGAATTGCTTAATATGTTTGTATTCAAAGTTATTAGCTTTATTGAAATTTTGAAAATAAATATGTTAGTATGATAGGCCTAAGTAAGTTTAAAGCAAACACGTAGGCCCGGGCCTTACGTCTGCATTCGGTAAATATCGTAATGCCGTTCTCATATTCTTCGCAGACCTAAAATGTATGCAAAGTAGGCTACGGAATGGTATCACCTAATTCCCGGCATTTTTTTTTTTAAAGTAAAAAAAATGTACAACAAACGAAAACTGAATGGACCTTTATGGAGTTTCAATCAAAGTCAGATAATATCTGAAGAAACATATTCTGTCGTTAATGTGACCTCTGTCCAACATGCACTACCGGTGTTGGTTAGGGAGACTTACTGTTATTTTTATTTAATGCGGCAATAATGACAACTGCATGGATCACATTTAAGTTATCAACGATACGGTGCTAAGCTGTGTGTTTGTAGGGAGTCGGGACAACACCATGTGTTTGTGGGACAAGCGCTCTGTACCTGGACCTGTTCTGATTGGTCCGTTGTTAAGTTTCATTGACGCTCATCATGATAGGCAAATCGCGGAAGCAATCGTTTAACCTTAATACCGTAGTAATTACGCTCTACACACACGGAAAGAAAATTACACCCTAGTTTGAATCCAACTAGTTTCTATATGGTTGTGAAAATAATCGCACTAATTATTACGTTGTGATGTTAAATCATAGTCACCCATACACTAATCTAATTAGTAATTACAATGCTAAATGTAATGCAGCCCATCGGCATGAAATAATATAAAAGAAACTCTCGTGCCGTGGCGTGTTTTATAATGTTATTTATTGGTTAGATCGTGTTTTTCTTTGCACCAATTCGACACTTGTGACTTTGAAATGTGCTAAGTTTCCTAACAAGGTGACGGCCCTATCACATTTGAAAACATATTGCACAGCTGTAACCAATGACTACGCAAGGTCACAGAAGGTCATAAGCACATTTTAATAGTTTGAATCCTCTTCACACCCGTGATCATATAAAGGGAAGGAATCTGAATTTGTAAAAATATTATACTGGGTCGTTTTAAAGATATAGGCCTATCTATTTTTTCTAATTTTTTTTATATACATGAATTCATGATTTTCTTAATAAAATTTATTATAAAATTTAAAAAAATTCATTTTTAATGTTTTTCATTGTTTTTCTGGTTAGCGGTTTAAGAGAGAATTCGCTCTGGTTGGTGTCGGGCTCATAGCCCATTAGTCTACCTTGCCATGCCGCTAACCTGTCTTTTGTACTTCATTGTTGTCTTTTCAATTTTTGTTCAAGGATTTCTCGAATGTTTTTTATCTTTGCCAAAATTAAAATAAAAGAATAAATACATATGTGTTGAGCAACGAAATCAATGCTTGAATTCCTTGTAGGTCTACATTTAAGAAATTTATTATTATTAACATTCACATTAAAATTAGAAGTTTACAAAAACAAATTGTCTTTGTCACCTACGCATAAATTATTAACACTTATTGCCTACTCTCGCTATAGACTCTTAATTAGCTGGTACTCTAATCAGTTATGTATTTCAAAAAGTCAAAAATATTTAAATCAGGAAAAAACGTAGGCTTATTTGTTCGGCTGGAACTATAATCAATTTAAGTATAATATTTTTAAAGTAAACAACTTTTTCTTGGATCTAGTCTACTGCCTTTATAATTGATAACTTTAGGTGCACTTTTTACCATACTTTTTTTCAATAATCTATCAAATGTGTTAATTTAGTTATATATATATATATATATATATATATATATATATATATATATATAATCTATCCATTAATTTATCCGTTAATTTAGTATTGTACATGTAGTATCGTATTTTAAATGGAACACGAGCGTGTCTCAAGTCACTATAATAGGCAGATTATATATAATATAGGCAGTTCACGATTACTTTTTCGAATAATATATGCCTGTAAAAAGAATGAGTACGGGAGAAGAACAATTTCGTCAACTAGTGCCTCGGTTTCAAACAGGAATGTGCACATTTAAATTAATAAAATATAATAGTTTTAAATCATTTTTAGATGGATTATTGTTGGGAGAATCAGTGGCGTATCTAGAAGTCTTGAAATGGGGGTGCTGATGGGAGGTGCGAAGGTGAAGTGGAGCTCGATGATCAGTTGAGGGGTGCTAATTCACAAAATAAGGTGATTTTAGGTGATTTTTAACTACTTGACCGTGATTTCTGGGGTTGACTGGTCGGGTGGGGTGGGGGCGCACGCGCACTTTCCCCCGCCCCCGGCGCACCCCTAGATACGCCGCTGATGAAAACCAAAGCCAAATTACATTCGGTTCTTCTCAAAAGTTCTAAACTTCGACTTGTAAAGAGACACTATACTGTACTTGTTTTAATTATTATGTTATTTCTTTCGCATCCAACAAAAAGTAGGCGTAATCACTAATGACAGAATGGAACTATGTTCATATAAAACAACATGGAAATAATCCCGGTGACTCACGGGATTTGAACCACTTCACAGTTTTTAAATTGCACTTTTATAGGAAAACCAAACGCTGATCAGTTTTTAATTGCACAGTTTGTAAATTGTATGAGATTGCGTACGGTATCACATGACAATATTGTACTTTAGTTGTTAAAGTACCACGAACACCATACGTTTAATTTGAAAAGGTGTGTTTCTATCTGCTCCATTTTTTTCATTTTTAATGGACGGGTTCTAGATGAATTTGCAGTACATTTTTTGCATTTTTTAAAGCGAACAATCAAGCTACAAAATTATACAAAAGAAAAGGGGTATATAAGTTCACTGGATTAACCCCAATTCACTGACTTTTAAAGCCGATGTCATAAATACAACTACCCTACTCATTTGAACAAGGCTCTTGTGATAAAAGCCACGTGGGCTGATCTGCAACCATTATTTACCAACACGACATAAGTACGACTGGCAAATAGAAAGCATTGTGTATTTCAATATAATTTGAATAATGACGGCAAATCATTCACCGATGGATCTGGAGTCGAATTAAGCAACAATTGTTAAAATGCAACATCCCACAGTAACGAGAAAAACCATTCAGATAACTAAGAGAAATGTAAATATTAAGTGGAAATTAACAGAAAATGCTTTATGAAAGAGGATGATTAACAATATCATCTAACTGTCATCGTGAATTACGGATGTATTCGGTTTAATACAGCAAACTACTAAGACAATTTTGTAAAGCGGAAAATTTAAATTTTTTCAAAATGAATGAAACGGCCAAGAATATTTTAAGATGCCGATGAGTTTAATATAGAAATAGACCTAATAAAATTTGTAATGTACAGTATTAGGAGGACGAATTGCAAATTCCTGTCAGTCAAAAAGTTTAATGTGTTTGCGGTTGCCTTAATGATGAAAAGCCGAGCAAACGAGGGTGAAAGTGACTGACCAATCAATATGCTTGACAAGCATATTTATTGGTCAGAGGACTTCTGCGAATGTCAGAACAGAAGTGTTTTACTCGTAGCCATTCTCAGCAACCACCGTCCTGATTAATGGAATAGTTAGCCTAATTACAAATCATATCCTCCTAGATTGATTGCAAAATCAAACAGGCTTAGAGAGAAGTGATCAAATTAGAAATATTTTATATTAAATTTTGCGATTTTGGAACGAGAGGAAATTAGCACCAAGATATGCCTAGGACTAGGTTTGTGTTGAGCTGAAAACTTGAAAATAACTGTATGATAAATACTTAGGCTATTTAGTATAATTAGGAAGTTATTCGCTTTCAAGTTTCAGCAATGAACAAAAGCGTTAAATAGACCAAATAATGCAGTTTCTAGAGGCCTATTCTTTGCTATATATAGAACGTGATTGGCTGGTAAAAAATTAAGGATTTTGTAGAGAAAAAGTATGTAAATCCGCCAAAAAAAAAAAATATTTGATTTGTGTTTCTTCAATGCTGAACTAAAGCCTCTTTGTTCATATTATATTGAGTAATATAATAGTGCAATGTTTCAATTGAAACATTGTTAGGATTTAACACAACTATATTCAGCTATAGCCACACCAAACGATTCGCCAAACTTGTATTTAAGGTATAAGTTAGGTCTATTTCGAGATTATAAGAAGTTATATAGATCTATCATTTTCCTATCTTAACCAAAACGTAACCATTTCACAACATCCAAGTTCGTCAGTTTGTCACGATGGGTTTATTAAAACTAAATCAATAGACCTTCTATTGATAGACATTCTAATACGGGGAAAACGATGATAGAGCTTAACAACAGATAACTTATTTTTTTACAACCGTTACCGGTACCGTATTCTCAATAAAATACTATTGAAGTTAAGTCTAGAACCTTAAATTTACTAAATGCGTTACGTAGTCCCTTGAACATCACCAAAATTACTTACCGGTTATTGCAAGTCCTCTAGAATAACATTCTTGTATGGAATCCACAAACAATGTATAAAAGTAACCGTGTTAAAGTTAGTTTATATCTCGAAAAACCCACTGTTGTTTGAAGTCCAACAACAAGTTCTTACAAAAAAAAAGGTTTGATATGAATATAGATATAGGCCTATAGCTACTGTATATACAGAAAGTGTTCGTGCTCCGTGGCCCCACAAGATCCTTCCAACTCACGTCGTGGACAGATACTAAAAGATACAATATTGATGCTCTCCTTATATCTGTACTTTTCTAGCGTAAAAGTATATCTGTTGATATTAAATCATGGCCACTAAATTGGGAAAGACCAATCACAGAGCGCCGTGCCTCTCCCCGTTTAACAGCGGGATCAAATAGGTGTTGTCCAATGTATCGTATTACGCATGTCACTTGCAATTTAACTCCGAAATAAACGGATCCGCCCCTCGTCACCGTCGGCATAACGCCCTCCTGAGCCAATCTTACAAGAAGTCGTCTGGCGCCCGCTTAGGCCGTACGCAACGTCACATGCAAACATAACTTCGGCGGCACCGGAGTTCTCTACAATTGCCTTGTCATTAAAATTCAATTTATTTTAACTGATACAAATATTTACTTTACTACAGCATCGTGCAAATCGGTTGCAATCAGTGCGTGTCCTCATGACGATATGTGGAAACAAACGGCCGTTAGTCGCACAAGGACGAACACAACTTGAATGGAGGATTGAGTCACGAGTGGAGAGAGGGATCGCCGATTTCGTAAGAACAATAATGTACGGAAGTAGGCCTAGATTCGCCAATAATATAGCGTGCACAGTCATTTCCTAAATTATTCGAGCGAATCGTAGTAATCGGAAGGAAGGAAGTTGTTGACGGATGTGTTAGTTTCGACGTTGTGTGGTATTTGTGAATTGCCCGCGGAGGATATGATACACTTGATAAATATAACAGGCACGATTTTGCCACAAAGTGACCCTTTAATGTCATCTTTGGGATTTCTGTTTTTTGAAACTAAATATAGGGCCATGTCATATCCACGTTGAAAGAAATTCAGTGCAGTTCCGTTATTAGAAATAGTTTCGTCTATTCGACCTTCCGTTACAGTAACACTAGTCGGGAATGTGCTTCGTCGCATTGTACAACAGCCTCAATAAAACAGACAATAAATGGTACTTGGTCTATGGTAATGTCGATGAAACCAATGAAGTATAAAATTTGAGTCCATATCGAATATCAACATTTCTATGATCAAATCAATAGAGTGTAGAGCAAAGTTTTTAACATTCCACGGTATAGATAGCTATATACCCATGATCGTGTCACGGATGGTGCAAAGAGAAAAAAATGGTAGTTTCGCCATGGTTGGGGAAATCTATTATTAGTTGTTGTAAATGATGTTATATAGTCCAATTGTTAATCGGCGTACAGCCATGTCGCACCCACCCCGACACGCGCATGACACGATCTTCATTCAATTAGAACACAATTGATCCTCCGTATTTCGTTCTACAACCACCACCGTCACACTATGATCTGACTGCTCATTTAATAATTGACTAGAAACACCTCATTCTTACTAGGCCATACAATTTCACATCAGTGTTGAAAATAATATGCCAACAGTTAAAATGTAAATCTGCAACTTAAAAGATTAAAAATACTCTAGCCTTTCTCCTACTAATATAGTATAGTAGAAGTATTATACAGTATATAATAATTTATGTTTGATGTTAAGGTTAGTTTCTGCGTATCTAGTTTAAATTAACATTTGCTTAAATTCATTATCTCAACCAAATCCAACCATCGTTTCTTCTGTTTTGCCTTTTATGGTCTATAAAATGTCTATATAAATAGCTGGGATCATAAAAAAAAATATGGGTTTTGTGTTTCTCGCTCTGACTGACATTTTAAATTTTAAGCCAATGACAGTTAAATAAACTTTGGCATGTATCAATAATAGACTTACAGTTCAATGACCTGTGGATTATGTGTGTAGATTCGAACTCGCCAAGTTTTGTCACGCATATGCGTACATGAGTATGCGTACCGATAGATCTACCTGTTGGTTTTACGTACTGTGTCACTAAGCAAATGCTTATAAATATGTTTGGGGTATGGGGCGCGAAACTCTCCCCTTGTGCGCAAAAATAATTACAGTGAGTGGCAAACAAAAGCAGTAGTAATTAAAACTAAGTTTACTATGAAATAATTAACCGTACCAGTCAGTAACATATTATTAAGGGCTAATTTAAATTCCAAAGTTTTTAGAATGAATTTAGAATAAAAACGAAATTTATAACTGGTTTTAAATTCTTTTATTATCCTCATTCTAATCGGAAATTTTAAATCATCACGAAGCGAAGTAGAACGTTACGAAGATACGTACCGGTAAGGATTTTTTTTAATGTACAATGGAAATCGGCTTGCATAGCGCCTTACACAATTAAAATCTTCTCAAAGTTCTTAAAATGAAAAATGGAAAACTAACCAAAAAAAATATCCTAAAACTAACCAGTAACAATTTATCAAAGTACACTCTTTCTTTTAATAAGAACGAGTCAAATTTTGCCTAGGCTCAGTTTTCTTCTTTTTTTTTCTCTTTTTTTTTTGGTAATTTAGGGCTCAAAATGTTCTCATTTTGTTCTTATTCAAAATTTTCAAAGATAAAAACTTATTATTGTACAGCAGTAAATTACTGTTGGCCTATTGGTATTAAGGGTAGGCCTATTACAAAAGTCACATCTATACCGCACTGCACATAATCAAAATAATTTTACAGTAGGCATTTAGGAACTCATCCTCAATTTGTTCCTATTGTTCTTAAATTATAAGCAATTTCAGTTTCGGTATTCTTATAAAATTTAATGTGTTCTTATAAAAAAAAATGTATCAAATTAGGTACAAACCAAGTATAACTCCACCGTTCTCCAGCAATTTGAGACACTTCATGTACTGAAACTAAACCATTACAGTGCATTTTGTAATTACCGGAGTAGGTATTTCTAAAATATATAACTTCTACTCAATTTAGTTGACACTTAAAATGTGGATCAATTAAAGAACACACAAATGATTCTTATAGGCCTACTTAATATCTACATGGGCCCATAAATGATATTCATTGGATCTTCGTAGTAAAAGTTTGCAAACTCAACGAAACGACATTATTTCTATATGTGTCTTACTTTATTTTATCATTCCAAATAAGCACAATGTTTAAAGTGAATTTCTACGCGTATTATTATTAGGGGCCTATTTATAGATTTTAATAGTACTGACTTTAGGCCTATCTCTGTAGGCATATCTTTCATATGTGAACCTACATTCTGTTACACATGGATCAATCGACTTCATTGAAGTTCAAACCGTATTCCATATGCTGATAAATTCAAATTAGGCTTTTTGGAATCCTTAAAAATATTCTAAAGAACTTTTCAATTAACAAGACACACGACTAACTATGGGTGTCATAGTCCCATGTCGGTTACCAAAACAAGGGCATGGTGGTCGACACAGTGCCCGCATCCTCCGAGCGCCATCCTGCTCAAAAGAGTTAGAAAAAAAAATCTCTGCCTAAGGCGGCCTAATGAGAGATTTACCTGACTGCGTTACTGGCACCAGATCTACCTACCTCTCTTCACATAATTCCCTCGACGTTTGTGTTTCTACTGAGAGCACGCACGCCTATAATTGGCACCGGTTCCTATTAGTTATGTAGTCATCGCTCCCAGGTTAAATATTATCTCTTTTTAAATATACAGTACAGTTCGTTCCCTCTCTGTTCAGTGATTGAATAAGATGCGTTTGTGTCTGTTAGAATCGGAGCCACATTGAAAAAAACAACACGATCGATGAAGCATAGACTCACTGTCATTTTACAAGTATTAACGGAATACAATGTGGTGAAAGAGAACAACAGAGCTGTCTTAAATTCAATGCAAAGCTCAATATTCCGTAAAAATGTATTTTAGGTTAACCACCGATAGGTAATCAAGGAGTACGAACCTAAATAGGCCAATCTATAGTTTAATAAATAAATAAATAGAATAAAAAACAACTAAACAAAAAAGAAAAGATTTCCAAACTAAGTATAATGATATTATATAATTTGATGATATAATGATATACTACATTATCCGGGCCCAAAATTATTATTATTATTAATATAAAATATAACATAAATATTATACAGTAATTAATGAGTAGAACGTGAACCTCTTTATCCATTAGACCAAGTTTTAGATTGTGTGTTTTATAGAGGGCGTTTTAATTTATTACTGATCTTTATCAACACAGCAACTACAATAATAGACATAGCTGCGCTGCGTGCTTGGTATTGTCGTCTGGGCAACACCACGGGCATTATTGACAAGCCGTTGGCGCGCATGTAATTGACACATGCCACTCTTGTGTCCTGTCTCTACCGAAGAAAAGGGTCAGAATAAGAGACACAAATCAGAATAATTCTTAAAATATGTAACTAATGATGCCTTTAATCATTTCCCAGTTGATTCTTTCAGAATTAACAATGTACCCGACTTATCGATGTGTAATCTCGGTCTATGGTTTTTATTTATCTTGATTAGAAACCCTGTGTTTAGAGTCCGGTTGCCAAATTGGGGTTGATGAAATATTTAATAATTTGTTTCGTTTGTTCAAGTAAACGAGCCAACAAACCGATTTCAGCAACAAGAAGTGTGGCGCCGATATAAAAGAATAAGTGAAGGAAACAAAAGAAACGTCCCACAAATTCATTACATGAAAGATACAAGGATAACTTAACAAATAGCAGATAGAAATCAATGCACTCTTGATATAAAAAGGCGTTAAATAGCGTGCTTATTGGTGTACTTCGATGCCTAGGTAGGTATCTCTAAAAGGGTATCATGCAACTCTGAATAGCTTTGGTCGACACGGGATCGGGAACCCATTTAAGTCCAGCAGACACCTAGCTATGTAGGCGGGTCGTTTATATTGCCAAAGGCTCAATTAGTTTTGTGTTGTAATATTTTGCCGAATCAATCCGTGTAAGCAATCTAAACCTATTCATTATTCTTTGAACTGTTTAGCGCCTTGTGTACTAAAGATTGTAGCGCAGACCGGCAAATACACATGACAACGGCCTTGATTTGGCAACAGGCTCGATGGCGCCGTCAGGATCCCCGGCTAATTGTCTCAAACTCTGTGTTTTCCGGACCGTAATGTTTAGATCATAAAGATATAACCATTGAGCTGATGGTATAACACCAGTACGGTTGTTACTCGGCATGCACGCTATCGACTGGGGGTGGGGTGAGGG